TTTAATCTTTTTTTTTTTTTTAACAATACTGAGTTCCTTAAGGATCAGAGGATCCTGCCACAATGCCCAAGCTATTTTTGTTGTTGTTGTTGTTGCAGTTGTCATTGTTGTTTGGTAGGCCCTGGCTGGGTTTGAATTCACCAGCTCCGGTGTATGTGGCTGGAGCCCTTACCCACTGAGCTACGGGCACTGCCCTATTTAGTTCTTGAAGAACTAAAAACTCTTACCTGTTCTTCATGCTGCAAATCAAGTACAGTCTTTCCTCAGACCCCTATGACAATAAGTCTAGCTAATACTAATCTCTTCTCTGTGTCTTCTCTCTCACTAATATTGTCTTTATTCTGCACTTGACACTTAATTACATTTAAATAGCTATGATTATATATTCATATATTTTTTCTAAACATTTGTAAGTTATTTCTCTCCCCACCTTGTTAAGTATAGGATCAAGAAATAATTTCTTTTTTGGGGGGGTTTAAGGGAACAAAGTCTTCTTTTTTCTTGAGACGGAGCCTCAAGCTGTCCCCCTGGGTAGAGTGCCATGGCATCACAGCTCACAGCAATCTCCAATTCCTGGGCTCAAGCAAGTCTCCTGCCTCCACCTCCCAAGTAGCTAGGACCACAGGTCCTGGCTATTTTTTGGTTGCAGCCATCATTGTTGTTTGGTGGGCCCAGGCTGGATTCAAACCTGCCACCTTAGGTGTATGTGGCTGGCGCCTTAGCCACTTGAGCCACAGGCGCTGAGCCAGTCTTAATAGTGTTTATTAAAACTGAGTATAAATTGGGTGCTTAATAAGGATTTTCTAGATTGATAAAAGGGGAAGAACTAGTGCGATGAATAAAATGAATCAAGAACTGTTTTTAAGAAATACTAAGTCACTTGTTATAATCAAAGAAAAATAAAACATTAGAAGATCTTGTTAGTTTTTTTTTTTTTAATTTCAGTTTGGTTGGGGTTGGGTTGGAACCCACCACCCTCAGTATATGGGGTGGGTGCCCTACTCACTGAGGCACAAGTGCCGCGCCTTGTTAGGCTTTTGATCTTGTCAGACTACTTTTAAGTACAACGGTCAAGAAAGGTAGCAATGGAACTAAAAACAGGGCATTTTCGAGTATTCTATATTGCCTCTAGTGATAGGAAAATCCCTTATTAAAGCTGGCAATAAATATTAACAGTCTCCCTAAAATTTAGAAAGCTAACTTTCCCATTACCAGTTAGATTAGCAGATATAAAGGGTGTCCATAAAGTTCGTGTGCAATTAAAATTGCTGTCTATTTTAAATCGCACATGAACTACACTGTTAACATTCATCAAGCACTTACTAGGTGCTATGCCTTTTATGAAGTAGACAGTATTAGTACACTCATTTTACAGGTAATGAAATCATGTCACAGAGAAGTTAAGTCACATGGCCATGTAAAGTCATGCAGCTGGCAAATGGTGAGGCTGAAGTTCAATTCCACATAATCTGCTTCCAGAGTTGGTGGCTCATGATTATCAGGTTAAGCTATTAAAAGTATATTTCCCCAGCTACTTGGCAGGCTGAGGCAAGGGAATCTCCTGAGCCCAGGAGTTGGAGGTTGCCGTGAGCTGTGTGATGCCACGGCAGTGAGCTGTGTGATGCCACGGCAGTGAGCTGTGTGATGCCACGGCACTCTACCGAGGGTGATAAAGTGAAACTCTGTCTCTACACACACACACACACACACACACACACACAGAGTATATTTCATGGTTACTGACATTTTCCACTAAAATTATATGGGCTAAAGAATTACAACCAGTTAAAAAATTAACAGTTGAGAACACTGGTACATGTGGCCTATAGAAATAATGAGGGAATTTTAATACCGTACCCAATATTGACTGAAGCTTCCTTACTACACATATGTTGTTTGATTCAACATTCTATTAACTAAATATGACTGGGAGAATCTTGGGCTACTCTGGATCAGAACTTGAAGGATGGGTTAAACATGGAAAAATATGCATCTTTACTTAAAAAGTAGCAAATGCTTTCAATATTCACTTTAGTCTGTTGATAATGTGTCCAGTGCTGGTGCATTTAAAAAAAGAGAGAAAGGGAATCTCACTGATTTCTCACTGTTAGCTTTTAAAATGCCAGAAATGTAATTCAACTATTTATACAATGTTTTAAGTTAGAGAATGATCTTTCTATGAAGAGCTGTGAGAAATTCAACAATCATTATAGAATAGGGAAGATAACAGGCAGACCACAATATGGACATATACACATATGATATATAGTAATACCTTTTCCATCCATGAATCCGACAAAAATCTTACAGGATGGCTAGTTTACATGATTTTTAACTACAAGGAGGTGGCTTAAGTTTTAGAAAGATTTTTATAACGTAAAAGAAAAATTTAACTTATTACTTTAATTCCTAATAATCAAATTTTTACCAAGAGTTTATATATGCATCATTGGAAAGCTTGCAACTGAAGCATGATACTCGAGAAAATAAAACTTTTAAAGTAAATCCTTAAATTGCCATTTGTTAATTGTTACCTATATGTAATGTTTAACGTTTAATGTTTGTTTCGGTTTTCCTAGTGCAATTTAAATAAGAAATAAATACAGGCTATGGTAGTCTCCTTAGGTCAGGTAGAAAGACCAGGAAGACATTCTCTTGTGTTTTACACAGGGAATATTTTCAAATTTCTAATCTCCAAAGATTATATTTTCTTGAAATCATCATTTGAAAATTGCTCTATTGCTATACATTCTTGAGTATACGGACTTTAAAAAAATAAGAAAAGCAGTAAATGTTAAGAGTTGTAAACTTTACCATTAAATAATATATACAGTAAAACATAATTTACATTTTCTTATCTAAGTGCAGACAGTCCCACCCTATTTCTTAATCTCTCTTTGGAGCAGGAAAGAATGACCTGACTGTATTTTGTGTTTTCCAACGTTTAAACATAAACAACGTTTTTGTTCAGAGGCTGCAGGGCAGTTTCTGGAATTTACGACCTTAGTGAGTTTTGCTTTTCTAGAAGGTGAAGTATAAACACTTCAGTTCACATCCTATATTTATAAAATACATATATAAGTACACATATAAACACACAGTATATACTACAATGCTGATCAGGCTCAGAAGAAGACTGAACAATACTAGGCTTTCCTGATTTCCAGGATACAATCTACATCAGATGCTGGAAGGCGGTTGGCCTCTCCGCGCTGAGGCACCACAGGGGGGCTGCTCCGCGCAGACTTTGGGCAAAGCTGTTTGCTGGACAAGGCGCCAACTTGGCAAGGTTATACTCCTGGCAAACACAGATTAGACAGAATAAAGTCGCCACAGACTCAACCAGGCAAAGCATAAACGGCCCTTTCAGCACTAGTCTAAGAGGAGGGATGGTATCGCGCCCGACAACCCAATTTACTTTCAATGGGATCCCCAAACCCGAGTTTCCTAATGCCATCTGCCTCACACGGCTCAGAATTGAAGCCCAGGTTGGCGTCAGGACAGGTGCCAAAGCATGCCCTCCTTTCTTTTGCTTAACTTCTCCACCCACTTGTCAAGTGCAACTTTTGAATGGATTCACCAGCGAGGCAGGATATCTGGGAAGCCCAGGAGGTGAGAGAAAGCGCGCTGGCAACACGCAGGGCTCGCTGCGCTGGCGTGAAGCAAAAAAGGCGGGCGCGGGGACCAGGCGGCTGGTGGCACGGGACACGCCTTGCTGGGGGGAAAGGGGGCGGAGTCACGTGTCGGTCACAGGGTTCTCAGCTCGAGCGCGCCGGGAGGGCTCGCCAGCGTCCTGGGTTGCCCGCTGACCACCGCTGGGCAGGCGAGTATCCGGGTCCTGGCACTGTGCCCCTCGTGCAGCCTGCGACCGCGTGGCACGAAGGCGCGTCGGCATCCATGCCCGTCTGGGGAACTAGAGGCGCTCGTAGCCTGAGGCGTGTGATGTGAGGCTGAGCGTGTGGCGTCCCGCGTCGTGCCCCGCTGAACCGGGCGCGGGAGGACAGCGGCGCGCTCCAACTCTGCTCTCCGCGCGCGGGGCGGGGCGGGGCGCGGCTGGGGGGGCCCGGCCGCCAGCGGGGAGCTGCGGTGGAGCAGGCGCGCTGCGGACCCGAGGGAGGGCACGGTTAAAGCACTGCTATCAACTGTGAGCCCAGAGAACCCGTCCTGAGCCCACACAGTAACTCTGCAGCCTCCCTCACGCCCCCGAACCACCGAAGGCGGCGACACCTGATCCAGCGCACAAACACGGGTCCCTTCTGTCCCGGATACAATTACGCGGCAGAGACACCCTAGGACTCACGCAGAGCAGCCAAGAGACGAGGTGAGCGAGAGACCACGCCGTTCCGGCGGGCGGAAGGGGCGCGGGCTGGGAGGAGGAAACAGAGGGGCGTTGTTTGCTGCTGGAGGTGAGTGTGGGGCGAATGGCTGTGATCCAGTGGTGCGGGGTAGGAATGGGAAAGCGCCGACAGGGTTGGCCTGAGGAAGTTAGGAGTGGACGATGGGGGTGGGGGTAGAGAGAAGTGCCGGGTGATGAGGGGGCGTCAAGGAGATTATTACCCGCTGCCCTTTGGAGAGCGCCCGCAATCCTTTCCCTCCCATATGGCACCCGTTCGAGGGTCCTCTCGCGTTCGTGAGTGCAAGGCGGAGGGAGGTGATAACAGGGCACCGATCCGCCGGCCGAGGACCTTGCACTTGACCCTGGTGGGATGAGCACGGCAGAGCCCGAGGCCGGAGCCAGTTGCCAGGGCAGGGACAGTACTGAGGGACCAGGAGGTGCTTCAGGACCTCTACAACTCTTTCCTGCTTGGCCTTTACCCTAAGGGGGACGAGAGAGCGGGATGCATTGGGGGCGGGGAATGTCTTTGAGCCGTACACATTCTCTGCGAGCTTTCAGCGCCCTCCGGGTCTTCAAGTCCACACAAGCCCAAGAATGGACAGTGGTAGGAGGTTCCTGCGGGTCCCCGCATCGATCAGTGAATGACACGGGTGCCCTTTCGTTAAACAAGTGTGTGCGGGCCCCGGGGTTAGAGAAAAGGTGAGCGCTGGCGGGCGTGGGGAGAGAGGAAGAGCCGCTGGGAGAAGGGCGCCTTCCACGGACTGGAGGAGCGGCGAGGGGGCCGGGAAGCGTGCTGTGGAGTTGTAGGAGGCAACCCGCATCGGAGAGAGCAAGTAGATGCAGTGCGTCGGGACAAAAGGACAATCGGAGGTGTCAGGAAGGGGGTGCGCAGTCTCTTTGCAAAGTCACTGGTTTTACCGAGGGTTTAAAAAGTTGGGTGCGGTGAATGCGCCACTTCGCAGACTTCCTTAGGGAAAACATCGTCTCTGAACTTGTACCTGTCCAGGGGGTCCTTATTACCTTTTATCTTGCGGGGCTGGGGAGGGGGTGTCAAGGGAGGGGAAAAGAACTTCTGGGAGTTGTCAAACTAAAGTAGAAAGCCAGATTGTGCTGACTTGACCTTCTCAGGAGGGAAAGGAAATATCCCAAAGGATGAGAGTGGGTGCGTTAATTCAGGAGTGAACCTGAAAGTCACCTTCATTAAGAGTGTTAGCAGTGGGGATAAAGAATGTTTTTGTTTTTAATTTCAGGTGGGTGTCATTGGAAAAGGTTAAAAAAAAAACGCACTACTCTAAAAGTCTTCTGTCCCCTCAGGCTGTCACTTTGTGGTATTAGGTTTTCAAGATTAATGACCCGAATCTGTGGCAGTTTGGGTTAGATGCCAAGTGTGCTGTATCTATCTGTGATAATTTTAGGTTCAAAAAAATCTGTATCCATTGGAATTGGCCTGCTTAACTCCCACCCTTCCTCAGGGGGGAAAAAATACTGCCATTTGAAGGAAGGATAAAAAGTGCTTTTTAATCAATACTTTAATGCTATTAGGAGTAATCACACTTTACTCCTCAGGAGATTTTTTCATATTAAGTAAAAAGTCATGCACTTCAATGTTGTGTGGTAACTGAGACCAGAATTTTGTGTTAATTAAATTAAATCTGACTTAGTTTTCTCTTATAGAAATGGTCTCTTGTAGTTGGAGGTTTTGCTTTAGGAATGTGTCATTGTTCCACAACTATCCCAGATAATGCCAGAGAGAAATATTTTAGTATTGTTTATTTGTCTGCCACCCACAAATGTAAGTGGACATCTCATGTTGTAGGAGTGTGTAAAAACTATGGTGAAGCTTGATAGTTAGTAAAAGCTTGCTACTTCATTAGTTTAGGCATAACTGAGCAGAAACTATGCTTCTGACTTTTTCCACTATAATATTCTTATAAAGATTCAAACTCCTTAAATAAAAAATTTCCAGAGGATTATGCATGGTGTATTTGTTCTTGGTATGTAAATTACAATAAATATACCAATGCAGTACATAAAGATATTTATAATGAAATATATTTTTGTAAAATTTATTTATTTAAGGAGTTTGGTGGCACACGTTTCTTAATAATTTAATTTAAATTAAAATATTTTATGGCACCTTATGAACAATTATCAGGTTAATTACCATATAAGTATTGCTGAAACTCTCCACCCTCAATCTTTAACTCTTTTTCAAAATTTGTTATATGCCTATTTGTTAAATAATAATATCAATTTGTTGCTTTTTATTTCATATAAGATTTTCTAACATACGCCTGGAAATTTCTAAGATAGACTTGGAGAGTGACAATTTTTGATCGTTTATGCAATGTATATCTCATTGATTTGACATCCTCTGGATTTGTTTATTTACATAAGCATGGTTTCTAGATGATCCCTTACATGATTTATTACTAAAACTTTAAAAAATTAAGACATTCCAACAAGCAATTTCTGAATCTCAACTGTCTTCCTTGTTCCTTTGGAGGATATTGAATATAAGTTATTTATTTTTTGTTGGGCTGTCTTTATGAGCTTCAATTCATAAAGAATTGAATAGAGCTATTCGTTGAGGTGTATAGAGCTGTTTTTGTTTATAGTAAATGGTCTCAGCCTGCTGGGTTGAAATACTAGAATGGAGACAGAAGTACCATTCTTCTTATAATGGTTTTTCAGGGTCCTCTTTCTATTATCAGCTATCATTTTCTACTGCTGTCAGGCTGTGAGCGGGCCCTGCTGCTATATTATCTGTTGTCTTTTTTTCCCCCATTAAATGATGTGTACTATTGCCTGAGTATAAAGCCTGTGAACTTTGTGACAGATACTTCTGTTCACATGCTTTATTCCTGGGCTGGATTGCTGACAGTTTTAGGTTCCTGGAAAGATGACCTTTATTTAAAAGGTTTTAATGTGCTTTCTTATAGAAAAAGTGGTGCGTGAGATCTTTAGAAAGGTATCTTCATTTGAGACTGTGCAGTGTTTCAGAAAGTCTTTGGTTTTCTGAGAAGGGGAAGCAGTCTCTTAAAAAAGTTTATCTTACAGTAGGCCCAGATTGTCTGGTTTAGGAATATATATTTACTATATTTTACATGCCAATTGCTGACGTTGAAACACACGAACTATGTATAATTATATTAATATTTTCCTATCCTGGAAGCTGCTAACCATACTTGGGGCTAGGTGAATTATTCAAGTATTATTTTGCATACCTACATATGGAGGAACTGCATAATCAAATCAGTTTGAATAAACTAGTTCGACTTGGACTTGAACATGGTGGTACTTATATGGTCTTAATCAGAAGCATTGGGCGGTGCCCGTGGCTCAAAAGGGTAGGGCACTGGCCCCATATTTCGGAGGTGGCAGGTTCAAACCCAGCCCTGGCCAAAAATAAAAGAATTACTCCTTAATCAGAAGCATTCACAAACGTTTATTGTTTTATTCAATAAGTATTTATTAAAAACATACTACATGCCAGGCACTGTGCTCAGGGAAGATGGTATGATTAAGTCCCTGGCAAGGAACTGGTTTTACAAAGGGGAGCTAGGAAGTAAGTTAGTTTCGGTAAGTATAGTATAGTTTGTAAATTCTTTAAGACCTGTAATTAAGATAGGCATAGAGTACTCTGAGCAGGGGGGTGGAATTGGCCAATTCTACCTCAGGGGCAGAAGATTCCAGAGGCTTCAGTAAGTATAGTATAGTCTGTAAATTCTTTAAGACCTGTGTTTAAGATAGGCATAGAGTACTCTGAGCAGGGGTTTGGAATTGGCCAATTCTACCCCAGGGGCAGATTCCGGAGGCTTCATAGAAGGTGGCATAAAATGAATCAGTGTAGACAAGAGCAAGATCTTGGAGGGCTTTTTGCCATCCTAAGTGGTATGGACTATTTTTTGTTCAAGGTTGTTTTAAACAAAGGAGTGAAGTGATGAGAAGCCAGCTCTCACAGCAATTTACAAGGTACAGCTAGGGAACATGAGACAGGAACTGCAGTTTAGAAGATTTGGGGGTGACCTTGGTAAGAGATACTGAGGACTTACAGCAGAGTGGGATGAAGAAAAGGGCTTGAGTACAAAGATGTTTAGATGGGATGTTTAGGTGGTACAATCTCTAGGATTAGGTGACTGATGAAGTGGCAGAGTGGGAGTGGGTAGGAGAGGAGGATGGGATACGAATTTTAAAGGAGATGTAGATTTGAAAAGTGAGAGTAATAGAGCTCAGTTTGGGACATAGAGAATATGAAGTGCTTATAGAAAGATCCATCTGTAGGTGTGTGTCCACTGGAGTACTGCACATAAGTTCTGAGCACAGATGTCCTGCTCAGATAAATAAATGAAGGGCAGATGGATGGATGGATGGATGGACCGACTGATTTACAGTTTTCAGCATAAAGGTGATTGTAAACAAAGGAAGTTAATAGGTTTTCTGGGCAAGTACCAAGAATTAAGAGGGGAAATAGAGACTTGGGAGATTCCAAAATTTGAGAGTTGGGTGGAGAAATAGCAAAGAAAATTAAGAAAGTACTGAAGAAGAAAGGCAGGAGGAGAATTAGGGGAGAGCACCTACTTTTTAGAAGCTGGAGGAAGGATTTCAGGAGTGTCATGTCAGGCAGTTGGGTTCTGCTCTGCAATAGCTGTGACCTTTGGCTCACAGTTTAGTTCCCTTTCCTTATCTGCACAGTAGGATTGAAGCCTTACGTGATAGGACTTCTGTGGGGGATCAAATGAGAAAAATCAGTGAAATGCAGTGCTCGGAAGATTATGGTACTGGTTCGTGCTCGATAAATGCTAGCTGTTTTCATGAAAAGCAGGACTTGGATTTGTGATTAGGAAGTCTATAGTAACTTTTGCTTTCAAAAGTACTAGATTTCAGGGTTCAGAGAGGGTGATTGAAATGATATTTTTGAGATGAAAACTTGATCATATTTTAACCTTTTATGTTAGAAACTAGTAGACTGTTTGGAGGGAACAGAGAGATGGGAGAAGAAGGTTCTCGAAAAGAGGATGAGAGTTGCCTTAAGCGCTCAGGACAAGCTGTTTCCACCAGCCTTGAGGGGCTGATATCGTATACATTGTGTTTAAAAAGCACCTGGCAATCAAATCCTAGACATTTTTAGTGTCTTGTTTAAAATAGTCTTAGTATGGTGTGTTCTAGTTGTTTAGATTATCCTGTAAAGACACTGATGATTCATTTTCTTAGAAACTGAAAACAAAGCAGAATGGTACAAACTTAACAAAATATATAATTTAATATTTAATAATTCAGAAAGCACTTCCATACCTTACACTGTCTCCAAAATCTTCACTGTGTTAAACAGGTGGTAATTATTAGCTCATATAATTGGAGAAGGACTAATTCTTAGAGGTTTGTTTGCTTTTTTAAAATCAAGTCAACTGTGTTAATGTTTAAATGTATCTACTTTTTTCCTTAGGATTTTCTGTGTTTGGATGAAGAGATGCTTTATATTAGAGATAAACATTTAAAATTAGGTCTCTATTTTATTTTATTTTATTTTATTTTTTTTGAGACGGAGCCTCAAGCTATCCCCCTGGGTAGAGTGCCATGGCATCACACTCCCAGCAACCTCCAACTCCTGGGCTCAAGCGAGTCTCCTGCCTCAGCCTCCCAAGTAGCTGGGACTACAGGCACCCGCCACAACGCCCGGCCATTTTTGGTTGCAGCCATCATTGTTGTTTGGCGGGCCCGGGCTGGGGATTCGAACCCGCCACCTTAAGTGTATGTGGCTGGCGCCTTAGCCGCTTGAGCCACAGGCGCCGAGCCAGGTCTCTATTTTAATAAGTATATGAATTTTTTTTACCTCGTGGTTAGTGGATATTTTGAGAGAATGTTTATGTATGTGAATTGGTTTGAGAATCAGTCAACCATTAGACATAGTAGATATTGTTTACTAATTGGTTATAAGGTATATGGGTGATTAATTGGTTACAAATATTTTTGGTTCAAATTAGTATATCTAGAATAGTCTGTTATTATTCACCACTTTTACCATTTGTTTACACAGCGTTTAGAATATTACACAATTTTAGGGATTCCTAATATACGTTGTGGTTAAATGAAATTAAATTTTCCATATTTTTAAGGTGAATTGAATTTTATGTATGTAGTTTTAATATATGACCCATTTGATGTGTTTTTTACCTGAAAATCTTTAGCTATACTTTTTATTATCAGCATTTCTCTACTTCAGAGTTGAGTTTTGATGCTTTTCCCCCTACAGTGCCTCATGGTTTCTGGTCCTGTTACTTGAAAAGCCTATTAATCTGTGCAAGTGATTTTTAGGTTAGGATTTCTTTCAGTTCTCTGTTGTTCATTCCCCACCCCAGTTTTAGACTTGTGGGAATGGGTCAGCCCCGTGAGTGAAGGACACGCTGAGTTTGACAAGATTTTCCCTTTTATGCTGATTCCCTAATTTTATGTTAAATAGGGGTGGTGTAATATTCATGTTTTTTCTTGGAAAAGGGTACAGAATTACTGGAATGGGGAACCTTCCCTTTTCTGTCCTTGCAAAGCAATTTCCTAGGGTTGCTGTGGCGTTTGTAAACTATCATGGAGCTGGTGAGTGTGATTTTTTTTTTCAATTTTAATTTTTAAAAAATATGGAATGCTTCATGAATTTACGTTATCATCCTCGTGCAGGGGCCATGCTAATCTTCTTTGTATTACTCCAATTTTAGTAAATGTGCTGCCGAAGTGGGTGTGCTTTTTACTATGGTCATGAGGTACACTGTTACATGAGGTCATTTAGGGACACTGTTACCTCAACTGTGCACATGTTCCAAAGACCCTCTATCTAAGCCTTGACCCTATCTCTCCTTTGTGATTTCTCTGTCACTTTCTGATTTGTCAATCCTTGGAGACCCTCTTGGCCAATCATCTGTTCTTTCTTGTGAGCAGGTGTGAGCAGGCAAATTGCCAAAATTTTATTAAAGATTAAAGCATAAGGCTCGGCCCCTGTGGCTCAAGTGGCTATGGCACCAACCACATATACCTAAGGTGGCGGATTC